GTTAACCCATTGAGTCGTTTTGTGCCCTACTTAATTATTTTACTCTGGCTACACCAGACAATTCTACTCGTAAGGGGAGAGTGCTGATGCTTGGGTCAGCTGTCTCAAGGGGAGAGTGTCCGAAGGGAAGAATGCCGACTGCAGAGAGCAATCAATAAAATGCCAATCCAAGAAATATCTAAACGAAGATGCCGTCCCATCTATTTTTGATTATTAATGATGAATCAATCAGGTTTCTTGGAGAGAACTAGATACTAACTGTGAAGGTTTTTGATGCATACCAGACACATTAGGCAGTTTCTTCAAACTAGTTTCCATTGAAAACTTTCGTTGTCACTAGTTCTCTCTACGAACCTGATTGATTCATCACTTTTCACTGTCCAGGCCCTATAGACTTGAGATCCCTTGACATCTGCAGCAGCAAGGAGGTTGTCAAAGTCACACTAAACAGAGCATCAGAATTTTCGCACCAGCAGACCAAATAAATCAAGTAAAATAGGTTTTAACTTCAAAATACTTCACAGAATTATTCCTTGTTAAATATCCCAACCGAGATCCTCGAGAAAAAAAGCACCCAAAGAACCAAAACCTTTATTTTCTGCAACAAAATGTCTCGAACTGCTCAACCGACCATTGTGACGATTTCAGAAAACATTTAGCGATCGATTATTTTGTCTTTATTAAACTTAAATTGCACAAATATTCATCCAAAACCTTCACACCAGTTAGTTCTTTCCAAAATAAAGTGATATAACGGGATCGGAAGCTGTAGGACGACGCAAAATGCAAAAAACATGGTTTTTCCCTATCTCGCTCTATGATTTTTGCCCGGTTGAGCCGCCATTTTGAATGCTCATGAGTGTCACGCGCGTGCATTATAGAAAACATTAGAGTCAGCAATCTAGGGATCGTGCTGTAGGGGAAACGTAGGGGATTTCAGTGCCCGCCATAGGTGAAAATAGGGAACGGAGAGTGGCAGCCCTGCAACTGTATATCATTAAACTGTGATTACGTGCAGAGAGCAGAAAGGGTACGACTGCTTTTATTCATTTATTGTTTAACTCGAGGTTTAACTTTAAGAATAAAGATTTTCAAGAGGTAAACTTCACTTGATATATAAAAAGGTAAGCATTTGTAGTATTCTATATTGTAGTCATAGACTAAAATCGAAATAATTTGTGAATTTGCATGTAGTAAACCCAAGCATGGGTTTTCGTAGTGACTGGCTTTCAGATTCTATATAAAATCTCGCCTTTCTGCTTGTATATTTTATATAAAAATGTTAGATTGACACATGTACATTACGTCCCTTTTGCCACCAAAATGTAAAAAGCATCAAACGACACAAATGGGGACAAAAACCCCCACAACGTTCAAAATATTTATTCAAACAAATGTGATGAGAGTATTACAGTCGATTTCACATAACTTTTGCCGAATTTTTCCGAAGTTGGTTGCGAAGTTCCGAAGTTTACCGATGTACTTCCGAACTTGGCAACGAAGTTCGGTTTCAATTTCCGAACTTCAAAATGAACTTACGAACTTTGAAATGAGATTTGAGAAGTATAGCTTGTAAAACAGATTCTGGCGCGTAAATTCATGTACTCGAACTAAACATGTCTGCATCCGAAGATCTCGCACAATGGATGTCACAGTTTCAGAGTGAACTCGATGACCCATCGTATCAAATAATTTATGGAAGACTTACAGACAATCATTTCAAAACAAGAACTCAACTCAAGCTAATTTTTGCGAAAGAAGTCGATATCATGTTCAGTGCTGGGGAGCTACCTTTGGGTGCAAAAGCGCTATTGCTTTACCAGTTGGACAAGCTAAGAAATGAGTCGCCTCTTCCTTTGTGTCGGAAACGGACAAGAATAAATGAAAGCGAAAATTCAAAAGGTATTGATGGATTTGATGAGTGCGACGCCGATGAAGAAAATTCACTACAGCCACCGATCCATACACCGACCGCACGCAAAGTAAGTTTGAAAAATTATACTCTTTCTAAAATAGACGTTTATCAGTTTACCTTGTAATATGTGGTATGATGACAAAATATTTTATTGATTTTACGCCGTTATG